TAAACATAAGAACAAATCCATTTAGTTTCATCTAGCACCTTAATAAACATGCTCAGAAAGACCATTTAGTTTTGTTTCCTCTAGTGTGTTTCCCAAGCCCATCCACACCAGGTAAACTTCAGAGCCCATCCCTCCACTGAAGGGGCATCATGCAAGGGAATTTCTGTGTAATTTAGATACCATAGCAACAGGACCTACAAACCTCGCCTTACTGTACAGCCTACAGAAGGTGACTGGAAAGGGGACTCACCATTGCTATAAAGGAGTTGGAGTTTGTAATGCGTGCCGTTGTTCGTCTTTTCATTGCCTTGCTCCTGAAAGAGAGAATTAAAAAAAATTCTTCCAGAACTTACACTTGGCACATTTAAAATGCAAAAGCTGATAATCATGATGGAAATGACAACAAAGTTCATTAAAATTCTGAGAGGTGAATCCACTGATTGGGATATATTAACCTTCCGAATGACCCAGGACAAGCTACAAAATACTGCTGACATCTTTTCCTGTAGGAGTTCAAGAACTTCTTTTCCACTCTTACTTGCTATTATGCTCTCAACTTTGTCAAGGCAATACACCAAGACTAATTTGTACATTTCAAGGCAGTTAACGTAAAGCAGATTAATAGTGGGAAAACTCAGTGAGTTTGATTTTTAATATGTTCCTTACTTTGCAATAGTGTTATTTTGAGTCATTATTGATATTTATTTCCTGAAGGTTGTGTTACAGGGATGTTTCTTGCATGTTTTTTTACTGTATTTTCCTAGAAGATAATTATTTATGAGCTTCCCCCATAATTAAAAAAAAATCTTGCCCATGACTAAAAAAATAATGGTAAAAAGAATGTGAAGTGGTCAAACACATGGATTTAAAATCCAAAAGCAAATTATTTTCAAGTCCTGCCATTGACTCTGGACTCTTAAGAAATACATGTGATCAAGCTGAACAGATAACATGACATATTACAGGTCAGATTCCACTTCTGTTAGGGTACTAATAAAACTTGGCAGATCTGGTGGTTATCAAAAAAAAAAAAAAAAGGGCATTTATCCCCCATGAATTTTTTTAATTCTATTTTTAGTAGGTGTATGAAATTCCCATTGTATTCCTGACACAGCAGAGGCTTACAAACCCTTTTAACTACAGCAGCGCACAGAGGGGAACAGCTCTACCAAAGCACTGAACCCTTGACCGAGAGCTGGTTGTATTTTGTTAGGGACAACAGGTATTAGAAGTTAGCAGCTCAACGGGGAGAAGATCAAATTTGGAGAGGAAAAGAGGAAGAAGAAAGATAACAAGCCTTACTTTATCATTTTCTACAAAGTCCACAAAAGCTGTCCTCTCTATTTCCACGGGCTGCCCCTGTCTGTCGTAGAGAGCCAGAACAAAGTGAAAGAAATTGGATTTCCTCAAGTTGGAGGGTGGCTGCTTTTCAAAGTGAGCTCTGGACAAAGCTACTCCGCTGTAGAGGAAACATACGGGACGGGGTGTGGAGGGAGAGACAAAGACATTACCAGGTTGTGCAGTAGTAACAGCAAAACAACAACAGAAAAGGCAGAATACATTCAGAGAAAAGCGGGGAATCGTCCACCTTGTGCGAGTGCCGCTGGAGGTTACCAACACTCGCTTGTCATCGCTGATGCCGACCTTGGCGCTTG